GATTAACATACCTGTTGGCATGCCTATTTTGAGAAATTTACATTTGTAATCAAACACAAGGCCTAGTGAACAAATCTTATGTTTCAAGATGGATTCATTTTTCATGTCCTTCAATTATGTGTTCTTAAGAATAGCCCATGTTTGAACATCACTTAGGATCTCCAAAATGAAGGATACATGGGCCATGGTCACCCCTAACACCTTGTCTCCAGATTCTACTTCTTGCCTGCTATGCATTGGAAAGTTAAAAAATTCGTTAAACATTGTCACGTCTACCAAATGACCTAAGGCACCTCCAAAAATGGTGGGTTATACTTACCTTTTTCCTTCACCAATCAACTTTGGACTAACATTAGTATGGATTTTGTCTTTGGACTCCCATGCATACAATGTGGTAGCGATTCTATCTTTGTTGTGGTTGATTAATCGGTCAACATGCCACCATTGAAGAGTTTATTGAATGGTTTCGCTAAGTACACCAACAAACCCTTTCTTGTTTTACTACCTCAACTAAAAAATACAACTTACACATTAATGAGAAACGTCAACCAATTGATTTACCGATTGGTGACCGTTTGGGCTTTCCTCACTAAAACTGGCTTTTTGACCCATGAGTATGACAAACTTGCTCTTTGAAAATTGGACCAATTGAGATTATTGTGAAGATCAACTAGAATCACTACAAGAAAAATGATGAATTGCGACAGAAAAATTGCGACAGTTATCCTGAAACCGTCGTTGCTTTGATATTAAGACCCTTCATAAGACGCTTTCTCCCAACCGTCGCAAAAGTTTCCAACATTGCAATAGTTCGTGCGACGAAGTCAAATAACTGCCGCAAAATTTATTTATATTGAGGCAGTTTGTAGTAAACTGTCGCAATCTACAAGACAAAAATTGAAATAAAAATTCACACAAAGTCATGCACACTCCAAAATTCTATAATTTTACTTTCAATAAAAAATAGAAAAATAAAATCATAATGACATGTAACTACATTTAGAAATGTTAAAAAGGAAAAAATACTTCAATATACTATATTAATTTTATTTCTCTATCTTTTAAATTATTTTAGAATAAAAAAGTTCTATGTTAATCCTAGGAAGCTAAAAATTTAAAAACATATATATGTTACATTTTTTTATGTGTTAGTGAAATTAATAATACATCTTAATTGTAGGTTAAATAGAGAATATTGAACAACTAATAAATAATTTATGAAATTTATTATTTTAATAGTTAATTAAATATGAGATATTTGATAAATTAAATTATCTTTTCACAAATATTAACTTAAAATCACTTCTAGGTTTGAATATAATAATACGTATATATATATATATATATATA